TTGATCACAACTCAAACTTTTTAGGATTCGATCCAGAGTTCTAAACGGATTAAATTCAAGTTCTGAGGTACCACTGTATATCCACATTATGGCACTGATTAAAACTCAGGGAACCCTTACTGGAAAAAAGGTTTTTCATGTTCATCAAATAATTATTGGCAAATACACATTATTACACCCTGATCAACCTATCCACTGTACGGCACCTAGTTTCCAGACTTCAAAAAAACATCGTAACATACCAAAACTCCAGCTGCTAACGACTTAATCATATTAATACACAAGTTTACACAACCATTAAAAAACATTATCCAGACATAAAGTCAATGAAATAAAAACATTAATAAAATTTGTTAGCACTTTAATATGGCCGTTGGTTGAACAAAGCACTCAATTTTCAGTTCTCGGCCTAATTAATAAAATAAGCCAGCATACAGGCCTATCCATTCAGTCTATCCTGAATTACAAGGGTTTCCAGCCAACCACAAGTCGTAACATGGGAACTTCCGACCGCCCACTTTCGACAGACCTCTCAGCCAGCCAATAACCTGCAGCTCCTTGAAACAGGAAGAGATGAACAAACCAGAGCAACGTGATGGGACCCTGAAGTAGTTTTAGCAGAAAACAAAGAGGCACAATTGACTGGCGGCAAATAGGAGATAGTGGTTTGCCTAGAACTTGCTCTGTTGTGTCCTGCACCGTCAATAGTGAAATGCAGCCACACATTTGGTTCTCCTGCCTACCGAGTAGGGACAGAGATGAAGGAGGAGTACCCACCACACCAAGAGCCACCTCAGGGGTGAGAACCTGAGTGCAGCCGTGCAGCGAGTGATACCTCAGCACCACACTAGTCTGAATGGAAATGTGAGTTTTTTTTCCGGTGGCTGGAGTGCCAATCCTGCCCCCAGGAAAGCGAAGGCAAGAGATAAATCTTAAGTCTTCAGGATATTGGGGGGGGGGGGACCTTGAGGGAAACTTATGGGACCTAGATAGCAAAATAGTTTATGTCTGCAGCAATCACTTCATCACTGCAATTAATATGTCTAGTCCACATAATATAATTACGATTATTAATTATTGTACACAATAGCCTAAACAAAACTGCCAAATTGGTTCTGCACATTAACAACAGTAAAATGAAGAACGTGGACATACTAAGAAGGAAATGGTACAGTGACAGGCTTTATGATAGGTTACAACTGAGCGGGGGGGAGGGGGGGGCTCATCCCCAGCATGAAGTAAATGCCACGTCCAGCCCTGGCCTATGTGTCCGATCCCGATTTCCCCCGGGTGTGGCTTGCTTCTTGTTCCTGCCCTTTTGTTAATTAGCAGCCGCCGCCTTGCGTTTGCCCCTTTGTTAAGTCCTGTATATTAGTGTCTCAGTCTCATGCTCCCCATCTGGTCAGTGTTACCTGTGTACGTGTGCAACCCTGCCTGTTACCCTCAATAAATGCCCCCACTTGGGGAAATGCAAACTGCAGCCGGCCTCTGGGTCATACCTTGTTCGCCTGTCATGACAGTGAAATGTGATCAAATTATGTAAACGAATCAACATAACATGACATACCCATTTTGTTATAAGGAGAAACATACGTTGTTCAAGTCAATAATTCAAAGATTCTCATTTTAAACAGATAAATTAGCATAATACTGCAAGTGTCATGACTGGGTAAGGATGGATGCGAGAACAAGATTAGGGGGAATGAAAAGGGCTTTATTGGGGAAAACAAAACAGAAGCAGGGCAAACTCAAAAGACCACAAGGGATTGAAACAGGAAGATGTAGATTTGGCAGGGCTGAAGCACAGGACAAAATCTAGGGGCACATACAGGGAGCAACATCAATGACTGAACTGGGGGGCACATGACTGGGAGGCACTTTATAATACTATTTATGAGGGAGCAAACGAGAGGCAGCTGGAGTGATCCACACGAGGGCTGAAATGAGAGGTAAGACAAAACAAGCAACAGGTGTGGTTTGGTAGAGGCACTCTAGGGAGAGAACGAGAGGGGCAGGCAGACAGGACACAACAGCAAGCCCTTCTCATTTTAATGAGATAATTTCATAACTCTATAACAAGATACTTTAATATTTCAGTATAACAAGATAATCTTATTATAATACGATAATCTTGTATCTCGTTATAACAAGATAATCTGAGATTTTATTATAACGAGATAGTCTTCATGTTTTAACGTTATACTTTCTTTTTACAACAAGATACAGATCTTGTTATAACTTGTCTCGTTATAATGAGAAAATGAGCAAATGTATTTTATTATGGTGGCAGCAATACACTGCTGTAGGTTAGCATCTTGTGGCTGTCAGGATTTAAAACCCGAGCTTATTTGGACATGTTTGTTGAAGTTGTTTGGGTTTTTAAGTGTTTTATTTTGGGAAGGTACCATGGCTTGTACTGCTCTGAAAAAGGGGACGCAGGCTAAAGGGCTACTGGAATAAAAAACACATTACAATATATAAAGCAAAACAAATGTAATGATAACCAAACAATATGTATATAAGCCTGCACATGATACCCACAATGACCTAGATACACTTTCTCCCCACTTTATCATCCTCCTTCAGAAATTTAAAATTGGCACATGATTATTACATAATTTTTTGTGCATTGGAAAACGATCATTCGCATTATCCTTTTCCCCCAAAGCAATCCATGCTCAACAATTTTTATGAAACTACACGTCCTTAATTATTCATAGTTGTGATGCATCATACTCTGTAGTCACACTTTGTTCAGCCAGAAATTAGATTAGGGTAGAGATATGTTAACTCCAGACCCCTATAATGTGACAGATTATATAAATTTATGTGGAAAGTAACTGTATGCTTTTATATAACACAAATACAATTACCAGCTCATTTTGCTTATTTATATAAGCTGGATAATATTATGGAGCAAACTGGGCTACATGCAGAGGGATCTCTGAAGGTGAGCTGCCTAACCCCATCCATCCATCCATCCATCCATCCATTATCCATACCACTTTATCCATCTGGGCTGCGGGGAAGCTGGAGCCAATGCCGAACCACATCTGGTCATTATATTACCTCTCCACCTATAAGAAATGTCCACTAACCTGATAATACTTCATGAATGCTCTTAATTTTGCATTTTCTTTTGATAATAATCTTATGTTCTTGTTTAGGACACAAGGCTTGCTTACGAAGATGTTGTGTAGCTTCTGCTCAAATACTGCTTACACTTGTACCTTTGCATTCATTGGAAGCTGTGCCTACTCGACCCCTTGACAGCCGTATGTTATAACGTGCCATTTCTCTCCCGTCTATGTTGCTTGGGACAAAAGCGTCTGCTAAATCAAATGAATGAAAACTATGGCTGTCACATTCGATTATATTAGTAATCCAGTAATCTACTGATTAATCTGACGATTCATCGAGTAATTGTTTATAATATAATATAATATAATATAATATAATATAATATAATATAATATAATATACACTCAGAAACAAAAAACGTAAGATGGAGTGGTGGAAATGAATCTGCACGTGGTGAAAGGTCATGTGACTGTATCGCAATGATTATAATATCAGATCAAACGCATAACAGCTCTAGTTGGCAGTGTGGGGGCACTGCTGGTCTGCACGGGTACCAGTTAATTACATCCAAATCGGACCATTACTTCTGTGTGCTTAACTTTTTTGTCACTGAGTATAATATGATTTACAACTGGTTTACACTAAGTGACAATAAGGAAATTGTAGGCACTCCAATTCACTTTTAAGTCGCATGTTATTGGACAGTGGAGGGAAACTGAAGGATCCACTGAAAAAGCCAGGCACCCACGGGGTGAACACGCAAACTCCATAAACACAAAGCGGCGGAGTATAGATCTGCTTTGCAAAACTGCCAGAGGACTGCATTTTCTACATTAATGTTAAGTGCGTACACGAACATGATTCCCTCTTTATCTGGGTCCTATCCTCCATGTGC